CATACTGTCGCTGGGCCTCCCTTCTTACCTGTGCATACTCATGTTACTGTTGCCCTTGGGAATAAACCTTTCCACTGCCTCCTTGCATTTTGTTGTTACATATTCCATCATTTCATTTACTGGTTTTCCTGCCAGTTCTCTGTCCCACTGGACCTCCTGCAGGAAGTTCTTCAACCCTTTTATAGTCAGGCTTTTCCCATTCAACTCCTGTTATTCTCTCCACTTGCAGCTCTACTATGTATTCAAAGCACAGAACCACGTGGTCGCTAGCTCCTAGGGGACTCTCATACTTGATGTCCTCAATGTCTGAGCTGCCCAGGGTGAACACAAGGTCCAATCTTGCTGGTTCATCCTCCCCTCTCACTCTGGTAGTGTCCTTAACATGTTGGTGCATGAGGTTTTCCAGCATCACGTCCAACATCCTGGCTCTCCATGTTTCGGGACCCCCATGTGGCTCCAGGTTTTCCCAGTCAATCTCCCTGTGATTGAAATCCCCCATAACCAGCAACTTTGCTCTGCTGGAGTGAGCTCTTCTTGCCATCTCAGCAAGTGTGTCCACCATTGCTCTGTTGCTCTCTTCATATTCCTCTCTTGGCCTCCTGCAGTTCTGTGGTGGATTATACATCACTGCAATGACCACTTTGTGTTCCCCAGACTGAAGTGTACCTACTATGTAGTCTCTTTCTCCCGTCTCATCTATGCCTTCCATTTTCTTGAATTTCCATCTGTTTTTTGCGAGCAGAGCAACCCCACCTCCCTCTCTGCCCCTTCTATCTTTCCTCATGATCCGGTATCCTGGTGGGAAAATTGCATCTGCTATTGTCTCCGTGAGTTTTGTTTCTGTAACTGCTATGATGTCTGGGGACTTCTCATTGATTCTTTCTTGCCATTCCTCGTGTTTATTTGTTAATCCATCTGCATTTGTGTATCAAACCTTCAACTTCTGTTCTAATACTGTAACTGTGGTGCAGGGGGTGGGAACAGAGGGATCGGTGTGTGATGGTTGGTTTGGATTGTTCAGTTGCCTTGGGGGTGTCATCGCTGAAGTCCTTCTGCAGGTGTTTCTGGGGGGTGTGCTTGTCCTTCCATTTGATCCTGGGTTATTCTGCTCCCCTTTTTCATTTCCTCCCATTTCTCCTTTCGTTTTTGAACTCTCTCTTTCATCGTCTTCCTTTCGTCCTGTTTTCTGTCTCGATCGAGGTACACACTCCAGAACTCCTGCTTGCCTCTCAGCCGTGCTTTCTCCTGCAGGATCATGGTTCGGGTTGATTCTGCCTTGAAAATTACTTTGAGAAGCCGATTCCTTTTCTTTGTGAACCACCCGATTCTCCGAAAATTTGCCACCTGGGTCATGTCCCCCTCACCTATCACCTTCATGATGTCTTCAATCGCTTTTTTCTCCTCCTGCTTTCTTTCATCATAAGTTTCCCCTTTAGCTTCGTCTAGCCCATAGACAAACACGGATCTCTCCCTTTCTGCCTCCCACTGTGACTCCCATTGCATCCTCTGTGTTTTATTTCCTCCCCGTGGAGTGTTCCTTCCTTCAGTCCCTTCCCTAGTTATGGCCCCTATGCTTCTTGGTTTGTCCTTCCTGCTCACCTGTTCCTGGCCCCCACAGGTATCTGGCATGGTCCCTGCACATGTCCTAGTTCCTTCAATGTCTTCCAACCTCTCATTCTGTCCTAGTGTGCTCCCTGTCTTTGTTTTGGCCCCATGTGGGTTTGACAGGACCTCTGCATACAGTTTAGTTTCCATGCTCCCTTCAGACCTGTTGTCTGTGTCTGATGTAGCCATTGCCAATGCTACTTTTGTAATATTTTTGTCTCTATGCTGTTTCAGATGTCTCAGCTCCTCTTCTAATCTATCTTGATTTCTGCTGCTGTGGCCTGTTGCTTCCACCATCTGCATTCTGCTGCTAACCTCTCTTCCATCTTCCTTTCCAGCTCATCTAGTCTCCTTCCCCAGTCTTCCTCCCTTTTTTTTGAGCTCTGCCTCCCATTCCTCCCTCCCAGATTCGTCCTTGGAGCCCCTTGTCCTCAGCCTGGTTCTAGGTTTCCCCGTTGCTCCACAGAAGGGGGGACGGGTGGTTAGGGGGAGGGGAATAGATGGTTAGGAGGAGAGGGGATGCATGGTTATGGGGGAGGGGAAGGATGGTTATTGGAGGGGTAGAGATAGTTGGGGGAGGGGGTTAGATGGTTTGGGGGAGGGGTAGGTGGCTAGGGTTAGGTGGTTAGGGAAGGGGGAGAGGTGGTTAGGGGAGGGGGGAGTACGTATTTGAGAGAGGGATGGATGGTCATGCGGGAGGGGGAGGATGGTTATTGGAGGGAGGGAGGTAGTTGGGAGGGTTAGATGGTTTGGGGAGGGGTTAGGTGGTTTGGGGGAGGGGTAGGTGGCTAAGGTGAGGTGGTTAGGGAAGGGGGAGAGGTGGTTAGGGGAGGGGGGGTACATGTTTTTGTCAAGTGTTTGTGTCAAGTGGTGGTGGTGGTGGTGTGTGTGTGTGTGTGTGTGTGTGTGTGTGTACTCACCTAGTTGTACTCACCTAGTTGAGGTTGCGGGGGTCGAGTCCGAGCTCCTGGCCCTGCCTCTTCACTGATCGCTACTAGGTCACTCTCCCTGAACCGTGAGCTTTATCATACCTCTGCTTAAAGCTATGTATGGATCCTGCCTCCACTACAATGCTTCCCAAACTATTCCACTTACTGACTACTCTGTGGCTGAAGAAATACTTCCTAACATCCCTGTGATTCATCTGTGTCTTCAGCTTCCAACTGTGTCCCCTTGTTACTGTGTCCAATCTCTGGAACATCCTGTCTTTGTCCACCTTGTCAATTCCTCTCAGTATTTTGTATGTCGTTATCATGTCCCCCCTATCTCTCCTGTCCTCCAGTGTCGTCAGGTTGATTTCCCTTAACCTCTCCTCGTAGGACATACCTCTTAGCTCTGGGACTAGTCTTGTTGCAAACCTTTGCACTTTCTCTAGTTTCTTCACATGCTTGGCTAGGTGTGGTTCCAAACTGGTGCCACATACTCCAATATGGGCCTAACGTACACGGTGTACAGGGTCCTGAATGATTCCTTATTAAGATGTCGGAATGCTGTTCTGAGGTTTGCTAGGCGCCCATATGCTGCAGCAGTTATTTGGTTGATGTGCGCTTCAGGAGATGTGCCTGGTGTTATACTCACCCCAAGATCTTTTTCCTTGAGTGAGGTTTGTAGTCTCTGACCCCCTAGACTGTACTCCGTCTGCGGCCTTCTTTGCCCTTCCCCAATCTTCATGACTTTGCACTTGGTGGGATTGAACTCCAGGAGCCAATTGCTGGACCAGGTCTGCAGCCTGTCCAGATCCCTTTGTAGTTCTGCCTGGTCTTCGATCGAGTGAATTCTTCTCATCAACTTCACGTCATCTGCAAACAGGGACACCTCAGAGTCTATTCCTTTTCCGTCATGTCGTTCACAAATACCAGAAACAGCACTGGTCCTAGGACTGACCCCTGCGGGACCCCGCTGGTCACAGGTGCCCACTCTGACACCTCGCCACGTACCATGACTCGCTGCTGTCTTCCTGACAAGTATTCCCTGACCCCATTGTAGTGCCTTCCCTGTTATCCCTGCTTGGTGTGTGTGTGTGTGTGTGTGTGTGTGTGTGTGTGTGTGTGTGTGTGTGTGTGTGGGGTGTGTGTGTGTGTGTGTGTGTGTGTATGTGTGTGTATGTGTGTGTATGTGTGTGTATGTGTGTGTGTGTGTATGTGTGTGTGTGTGTGTGTGTGTGTGTGTGTGTGTGTGTGTGTGTGTGGTGTGTGTGTGTGTGTGTGTGTGTGTGGTGTGTACTCACCTATTTGTGGTTGCAGGGGTCGAGTCCTAGCTCCTGGCCCCATGTGTGTGTGTGTGTGTGTGAGAGAGAGAGAGAGAGAGGGAGAGATGGTTAGGGGGGTTGGGGATGGGTAGTTGGGGTTGAAAGATCTGTTATACCTCTGTCATGTAGGCTCAAATTTAGTCCCAGCTGTCTTTCCTAGTAATGCTACTCTCTCCACTTATTGCCCTTTCTGGATTTAAGTATCAATTACTGCTGGTTATTATCCTATTCCTTGCTCACATTGAGAGAAGACTTCCTAGCTTCCTAAGTACAGTGACCCCCGGTTAACGATATTTTTTCATTCCAAAAGTACAGTGGACCCCCGGTTAACGATATTTTTTCATTCCAGAAGTACAGTGGACCCCCGCTTAACGATCACCTCCCAATGCGACCAATTATGTAAGTGTATTTATGTAAGTGCGTTTGTACGTGTATGTTTGGGGGTCTGAAATGGACTAATCTACTTCACAATATTCCTTATGTGAGCAAATTCGGTCAGTGCTGGCACCTGAACATACTTCTCGAATGAAAAAATATCGTTAACCGGGGGTCCACAATATGTTCAGGTGCCAGTACTGACCGAATTTGTTCCCATAAGGAATATTGTGAAGTAGATTAGTCCATTTCAGACCCCCAAATATACACGTACAAACGCACTTACATAAATACACTTACATAATTGGTCGCATTGGGAGGTGATCGTTAAGCAGGGGTCCACTGTATTCATACTGCTAATAAATACCGGTAGTAATACCAGTAAATCTGAGGCTTACCAATAGTACTTCTAACACTTATCAATTCTACTTATAAACTACAGAAAGTAACTAGGTTGTAAAATTTAGCTTGTCTCAGCTTCTAGGAGTGTCTACGTTACCCCTCGCTAGACTCTCTCCTCACACTCTCGTGATTAAGTATGAGTGATGGTGAAAGTGTTGAATGATGATGAAAGTTTTTTCTTTCATTTTGGGTCACCCTACCTCAGTGGGAAATGGCCGATGAGTTAAAAAAAAAATACTTCACATAAACATACACGATGTATAATCGCTTAACAAATCACCTCAAAAATTACCTAAAAAACATAATATCAAAAATTAATGTAAATAAATTCTAATTGAAACTACTGCTGCAATAATTGAGTATAACATACCAACAGCAAGGCAGAACTGAAGGATGTTAATGGCTCCCTCTTCTTTCAGAAAGGTGTGGAACAGGTACAACAAACTCTGATCTTTCAACACAGAAGACAAGTTGCAGCGTAGAACCTTGTACAAAAAACAATTATGTTTCACAATGTCTTAAATAGTATAAAGCAGAACAATGACAACTTAAAAAGCTATTAAAATGGTCATTTATATTAACATAAGTAACTACTGGCAGAAATGTGGGCAAGAGAGAATAAAGGTGTGTGAGAATGAGGTCAAAAAGGTATGTGGTGTATTTATAAATGCAGTGCTGGAGTGCTTAGCAAAGGTCTGAGAGTGCGAGAGGGCGAGAAGATGATTATTTAGTAGAATGAGGAGATAAAGAGGGTAACGAGGAGGAAAGTTAGCGTATGTGAGATTTTTACAAGGTAGAAATCATATACTGAAGGAAGAATATGGAGAGCAAAAGAGGTTACAAGAGTGGTCCGGGAGTGCAAAAGAAAAGCCAATGAGAGAATAGTTGAATTTCTATCAGCAAATTTTGCAAAGAGTAAGAAACAGTTTTGGAGATTAATCAAGTGAGAAAGTGTGGGAAGCAAATGAACTTGGCAGTTAAAATCACAAGAGGGAAGATGTTAGATGGGCATATGGAGGTACTATAAAAATGTATAGTATTTGGCCAAGTACCTGAAAGTTAATGATGAAAGGGAGATTGTGATTTCACGCGCTGGACAGTGAGGAATAACGTCACAGAGGTGTAAGGAGACAGGTGGGTGTGGGGAAAAGTGCATGAAGCAGTAGGTAGAATGAAAGTGTGCTGATGTATTATTTAACATATGCACTTGCCAGGGGGGTATACCATCTTTTAAGAGTGAAGAAGAGTAGGAATTGAGTGTGGGGGAGGAGCGTGAGGCATTACGTAGAATGAAAGGGGATAAAGCGGATGGAACTGATGGGATCATGACAGAAATGTTAAAAGCAGGGCAGGATATAGTGTTGGAGTGGTTGGTATTTTTGTTTAAAAAATGTATGAAAGAGGGGAAGGTACCTAGGGATTGGCAGAGAGCATGTACAATTCCTTTATATAAAGGGAAGGGGGGACAAAAGAGAATGTAAAAATTATAGAGGAATAAGTTTACTGAGTATACCAGGAAAAGTGTATGGTAGGGTTATTATTGAAAGAATTAGAGGCAAAACAGAATGTTGGATTGCAGATGAGCAAGGAGGCTTTAGAGTGGGTAGGGGATGTGTAGATTAAGTGTTTACATTGAAGCATATATGTGAACAGTACTTAAATAATGGTAGGGAAGTTTCCACTGCATTTTTGGATTGAGAAAAGGCAAAAAGAAAAGGGAAAAAAGGTGATTGGTGCATTGAGGTATATGTGGAGACAAAAAAGCGTTATCTATGGAGGCAAAGAAGGGAATGTATGAAAGTACAGTGGTACCAACACTCTTATATGGGTGTGAAGCTTGGGTTGTGAATGCAGCAGTGAGGAGGCGGTTGGAGGCAGTGGAGATGCCCTATCTAAGGGCAATGTGTGGTGTAAATATGCATTATGCAGAAAATTCGGAGTGTGGAAATTAGGAGAAGGTGTGGAGTTAATAAAAGTATTAGTCAGAGGGCTGAAGAGGGGTTGTTGAGGTGGTTTGGTCATTTAGAGAGAATGGATCAAAGTAGAATGACACTGAGAGCGTTTAAATCTGTAGGGGAAGGAAGACGAGGTTGGGGTCGTCCTCGAAAAGGTTGGAAGGAAGGGGTAAGGAAGGTTTTCCGGGCGAGGGGCTTGGACTTCCAGCAGGCGAGCATGAGCGTGTTCGATAGGAGTGAATGGAGACGAATGATATTTGGGACATGACGATCTGTTGGAGTGTGAGCAGGGGAATATTTAGTGAAGGGATTCAGGAAAACCGGTTATTTTTATATAGCCGGACTTGAGTACTGGAAATGGGAAGTACAATGCCTGCACTATAAAGGAGGGGTTCGGGATATTGGCAGTTTGGAGGGATACGTTGTGTATCTTTATACGTATATGCTTCTAAACTGTTCTGTTCTGAGCACCTCTGCAAAAACAGTGACTACGTGTGAGTGAGGTGAAAGTGTTGAATGATGAAAGTATTTTCATTTTGGGGATTTTCTTTCTTTTTGGGTCACCCTGCTTCAGTGGGAGATGGCCAAATTGTTAAAAAAAAAAAAAAATAATATGATAGAGTGGATAGGGGAGCAAAGTGGCAGATGCTGCAAGTATATATGGAATAGGTAGTAAGTTACTAAATGCTGTAAAGAGTTTTTATGAGGATAGCGAGGCTCAGGTTAGGGTGTGTAGAAGAGAGGGAGACTACTACTTGGTAAAAGTAGGTCTTAGACAGGGATGTGTAACGTCACCATGGTTGTTTAATATATTTATAGATGGGGTTGTAAAAGAAGTAAATAATGCTAGGGTGTTGGGGAGAGGGGTGGGATTAAATTATGGGGAATCAAATACAAAATGGGAATTGACACAGTTACTTTTTGCTGATGATACTGTGCTTATGGAAGATTCTAAAGAAAAGTTGCAAAGGTTAGTGGACGAGTGTGGGAGTGTGTGTAAAGCTAGGAAGTTGAAAGTGAACATAGAAAACAGTAAGGTGATGAGAGTATCAAATGATTTAGATAAAGAAAATTTAGATATCAAATTGGAGAGGAGGGGTATGTAAGAAGTGAACGTTTTCAGTTATTTGGGAGTTGACGTGTCAGCGGATGGATTTATGAAGAATGAGGTTAACCATAGAACTGATGAAGGAAAAAAGGTGAGTGGTGCACTAAGGTATATGTGGAGACAAAAAACATTATCTATGGAGGCAAAGAAAGCAATGTATGAAAGTATAGTGGTACCAACACTCTTACATGGGTGTGAAGCTTGGGCTGTAAATGCTGCAGCAAGGAGGCAGTTGGAGGCAGTGGAGATGTCCTGTCTAAGGGGCAATGTGTGGTGTAAATATTATGCAGAGAATTCGGAGTGTGGAAATTAGGAGAAGGTGTGGAGTTAATAAAAGCATTAGTCAGAGGGCTGAAGAGGGGTTGCTGAGGTGATTTGGTCATTTAGAGAAAATGGATCAAAGTAGAATGACATGGAGAGCGTATAAATCTGTAGAGGAAGGAAGGAGGGGTAGGGGTCGTCCTCGAAAAGGTTGGAGGGAGGGGGTAAAGGAGGTATTGTGGGCAAGGGGCTTAGACTTCCAGAAAGCATGCGTGAGCGTGTTAGATAGGAGGGAATGGAGACGAGTGATATTTGGGACCTGACGAGCTGTTGGAGTGTGAGCAGGGTAATATTTAGTGAAGGGATTCAGGGAAACCGTTTTTTTTTATATAGCCAGACTTGAGTACTGGAAATGGGAAGTACAATGCCTGCATTTTAAAGGAGGGGTTTGGGATATTGGCAGTTTGGAGGGATATGTTGTATATCTTCATATGTATATGCCTCTAAACTGTTGTGTTCTGGGCACCTCTGCAAAAACAGTGATTATGTATGAGTGAGGTGAAAGTGTTGAATGATGATGAAGGTATTTTCTTTTTGGGTATTTTCTTTCTTTTTGGGTCACCCTGCCTCGGTGGGAGACGGCTGACTTGTTAAAAAAAAAAAATGCAAGAAAGAAAGAAATGTGCCTATGGACTGGCAGAGAGCATGCATAGTTCCAGTCTATAAGTGGACAAGAAAGAATGTAATAATTATAGAAGAATAAGCCTGTTGAGTATACCAGGAAAGAGTAGGGTATGATTTTTACTGAAAGAGTCAAGGGTAAGGAAGGTCAAGAGTATGATTGCAGAGAGGCAAGGAGAATTTAGGAAAAGTAGGGATATGTAGACCAAGTGTTTACAGTGATGTAAGTGAAGAATACCTACTCAGATAACAGTAAGGAGCTCTTTGTTGCATCTATGTACAGTGGAACCTCGGTTGTCGAATTTAATTTGTTCCAGATGACAATTAGACAACCAAAATGGACAACAACCAAAGCAATTTTTCCCATAAAGAATAAAATAAATCAGTTCCTGACCCCAAATGACAATATAATAATTTATTAAAAATGTACTACTACATAAAACTGTAAAAATGAATACTATAAGAAACTTTAACTGAAATACTGTACAGTAAATGAAAATTTAATCGTCTCTTTTCTGTCAGGGAGGAGCTAATGGCACACTGGAAGCAGGAGGTGGAGGAGAGGAGGGGGTATGTTACTGCTTGGAAGGAGAGTCACCTTCTACTAATATGTCAGGCTGCTGTCCTTCTGGTGTTGTTTCTCTTCTTTGTCTCTTTTCACCACTAACACCTTGTTCTGGCTTACTGGTTCTTTGTCTCACTAAAAACTTGTCCAGTGAGGTTTGATTCAGGCTCTACTTAAAAACTTGTCTAAATTGAGACATTACACTGTCACTGTACATGTCAGAGAGACAGATAGCCACTGCTTTGTCTGGATGGTAATTTTCAGCAAACTCCTGAACTTCACACCATTTAGCACACATTTCCTTGACAAGTGCAATGGGCACATCATCCCTTCTCTCTTCTTCCTCTGATGGCAGCTCCTCTTCTGCCACCTGTTGTTGCTCCTTCTGAAGGTCTACAAGTTCTTCTGTGGTGAGTTCAGTTCTATGCTCCTCCACCTCACAATATCCTCTACCGGCTCAGGCTCATCTTCAGAGCCTTCAAAATCCCTGGTTGCCACAAAGTCTGGCCACTGTCTTCCATACTGACTGAATGATCCTGGAAAAGACATTCCTCCAGCCTTTGTCTATAAACCTCAAGCAGGTGAAGATACTGAAATGGTTCTTCCAGAACTCCCTGAGAGTTAAATTTGTTTCGGAAGTGATTTCAAAGCACCTTTAGAAAAGTGCTTTTGTGTAGAGCTTCTTGAAGTTAGAAATGACCTGCTGGTCCATGGGCTGGATGAAAGGAGTGGTGTTAGGAGGCAAGAACTTCACAGTTATAAAACTGAACTCCTCCAGCAACTCGTTTTCCAAGCTTGGAGGACGAGTAGGAGCATCATCCATAAGTAAAAGGGCCCTGAGAGGCTACTGTTTTTTAACAAGGTACTTTTTGAGTGGGAGCAAAGACCTCATGAACCCACTCAATAAAAAACTGA